ACTGAATGGGAGGTACACCGCTGGATCTACAATTAAACAAGGGCCAACCTCGGGTTCCTTGCAGATGCGAATGGACACATAGAAAGCTTCAGAGACACGCAAAGATCGCTGCATGAAACTTTGACGAGGCCCGGCCTGAATTAGAGATGGCATGCTTGATGCTGCAGCTCCCTGCCAAGAAGGCCCCCCGCCAAAAATCAAAGGAACAGTCCTTCGTCTGTCGTGGTTCGCTTCTTGCAAGCGCCTTGTATGAAACAAACATGAGACCGCCAATGCAAGCTAAAAACTGCCAATGCTGCGTGGCAACCTGCTTGCTCGCGCCAGTGCACAAAAAACATGGCCTCGGAAGAGACTTGGCTGGGCTTGCTCGGCGCCACATGAGCCGCATCATCCTGCAATGAAATGGAGTCACCGCAGTGAGTAGCCAATGCTGTGTGTTCACTTCATTGCCAACTCCATTATGCCCCTACCAAGCGAGCCCTCCCTAACTTCATGGCACAACAATGATACTCAACAGCTCCTATGCACAAGGTGCCGATTCAGAACGCGGCGCCTGAATTCCTGGCTGCACAGCGGCAGCATCCTGCCATGAGCAACAAAATTGGATATTCTGCAAGTGCAACATTATACTCATTTAATATCAACCACGTGTTCTACGGGTATACCGGTTTGTATACTGGCCTTGCAAAAAACCAGAAGAAACCAGGAACGGCCTGACATCTCAAATGGCCAATACGTCCTCTTGAAGCTGCTGAACTGCATCTGCTTGAAGCTGTGCTAGTCAAACATGGCAAGCAAATGGACAATGCCTTGGCTCTCCCTGCTTTACATCTCATGCTTCTGGTGGAACCTCCTTCCTGGTTTCACAGGGAAGCCCTTTTGCCAAGCTCGGGACCCGGGAGCCCCTGACCCGGGAGCCCCTGACCCGGTGAGACCACCCCCAGTAAACACGACGACGACAACCGTCCGACGTCCGGCTGGGCCAACGGCGCGGCCTGAGTTAGAACTTCCGGCGCATCCTGAAGCACCGAGGTGAATGCCGGTGCCAGCCGAGTGGCACAACATTTGGCTGGAAATTGGAGATGTTCCATGACTCTCCTATTGGTTTTAGTTCATGTTTCCATTTCGCAGGGCTCCATTCCGGGGTTACCCTGTTGACAACCACAACCATTTCTTCCTTTCAAGAGCCTGGCTCCCAAAGCTGGGATTGCTTCGACGGCAAACATGGCCCCATCATTTTCTCCATAGTCTGCGCTGAAAAAAAAACCTCAAACTGGCAATTTGGGAAGCCAACGGGAAAACAGAGGATCACAACGTACATGGAGCCCCGTATCAGAGAAACTGTGGCAGAGACAGCTCCTGAATTAGAAGATCCATCGCCGCATCGTCCTGGCTGACAGGGGAACACCCTTTCATGCCAGGTGGCCCTTTGGGTCTTTGGCTGTTGCAGAATTCGGCCGAAGTGGGGGCTTCCAAGAGAAACAGCCAGTGGACGAACCAATCCCTCAAATGGGATAGATAAAAGCCGGTACAGTAAACACTGGGATAAACCGCCTCCCAATTGGCGCATCCTGGGTTTTTGTCAACAGGTGCAATCCGACCAACACCCGGCGTCAGGCATGTCACGCCTGGAACGTCTTCAGAGCTAGCACCGGCGGCCTGTGAGGCACGCGCGTTGCGGGAGCCCCCCCCCAAAGAAGATTCAAAAATTCCCCAGATAGCTGAAAGCTGAAGGGGTTCCAGAGGAGGGGTGGGTGAGACTCAGCATGGCGCCAGGTGCTGTTGCAAGGGTGCTGCAGGGTGCTGCAGGCCGAAACTCAGGGCGCTGCGGGCCGAGACTCAGAGTTGCGCAGGGTTGTTGTTGCCAGGTGAGTTACAGGGGGCTTGCCCTGAGGGCAACGCGCAATTCAAAGCAGGTCTAAAAACAAAACACAAAAGGGTCTTTTGGCAAGTTGTCGGCGCCTCGTCGGCTGCCCGAACGGCATGTCAGCGGAAGTTTTTGTCGCGGCTCCCCAAGTTTAACAACCTGTCAGCCACCGGACGGCTTGTCAGCCGAAGACTTTTGTTTGGCTTCCAAGTTCAACATCCTGTCGGCCTCTCGGCTCCCCAAGAAAAGCTAAAACGCGTCCGGGTGGCCAACAGGACGTCGAACTTGGAAGCCGGACACAAGTCTTCAGCTGACAAGCCGACAGGACGTTAAACTTGGGCGCCGCATTTTTTTTTAGCTGACAAGCCGTCCGGGTGGCCGACAGCTTGTCAGCTGAATATTTCTTCGGGTGGCTCTGTCGGCCGCCGGTCGTGGCGCCGTAGTCTTCCCGTATTCTTCCCGGAGCTCTGGGAGGCGAAGCGCTGTGCAAATCGACCAAGACATTGGCTGAGAGGCGGCGCGTTCAGCCAATCCACCAAACCTCGCCAATGCTGCAACATTATCTATGCAAAGTTTAGCAAGCGAATTGCCAGAGCAATCTATTGTGAGAATTATTCTGGCCGACACGCTAGGCAAATCCGCCAAATCATCGGCTCTGAGAGGCGGCGCGTTAAGCAAATCCACCAAACTCCGGAAAGTGAGTGCCAATGCTGCAATCATATTGCTTGTGCAGGTTTTGGAAGCGAATTGACGGAGCACGCTGTTCTGAGAATTATTTGTGGCCGCTCTGCCGGGTGGTGTGTTGGAATAGGCGTCTTTAGTTCATTTTTGCTATCTTGGGTCTATGCTGGTAGAATTTTGCTCTCCATGCTAATCTTTTTTGTTTTTTGGTACCCCCTTTCGGGTGGTCTTAAAGGGAAACCAAAAGGACACCCCACCCATTTTGGGGGCCCGAAGCCTCAAAAAGAGACACCCATCTGTGCTGGCAGTTGGCAGATCCTCTTGGATTCTGTTATGTTTCGGCACCTTCCGAGTTTCCTGGCATGCTGAACACCCAAAAAACTGGGCTGCCCTCAAATCCCCCGCTACAAGTTTAACTTTTGGTGGGTTAAATTCGGAAATCCAACCACTAAACACTAAAAAACTAAAAGGCTAAGGAAAGGGATGGCTGGGAGCCAAGAAAAGATAGTCTTCATGACACCTTCCCAAGACCAAGCCCCAGTGCTGCTTTCGCTTCCCCAAACGCTTTTGCTCATTTGCTCAGGGCGCAACGGTGAGCTGGAGATCTCCAAACCCACGTCCACCGGGCCGTTGAAGGGTACGTGCCAGCCTGCAGGTATCTTCCGGCCGCAGGTTCACCGTGATGTCTTGGATCTAAGCCATTGGAAAGATAAATGGCCATGGGTCAAAACCCAAACCAGTGAACATCCCAATCCAACCACCAAAATAGGTTCTAAAATGGGTGGTGCACCTACACCAAATGGTACCATTGGTGTTGACCCACGGCCAAATAATTCCATAATCGGGGCATCTGCTGGGAAGTTTTGCACCTCAAAGCCCTGCACGTCCTGTACTTTGGAAAATATGTCCCAGCATGCATGTGCCATTCCGCTGTTATCAGATGCGTTTAGGTGTAGGACCGAAACAATGAGAGGCCTGGCGAGCAAGACAAACAAAGTTCCAACACCAACAGCTTCTTGCAGCCTCGACTCACAATTGACCAAAGCAAAAACCGCATGGTTCAAAGTTGGTTGCTGCAAAGACCCCTCTGCAAAACGTCTTTCTCTATTCTGTGGCTCCAACAGAAAATACTCTGTTCCCCAAACAGTTCAAGTCCCAAGATCCAACCAAATAGCCAGAAAGCAAGGTTGTCGTCGCTGAGATGTCGCCCTGCAACAGCAGTGCCCGCGCCTGACTCCGGCGGCTCCGCGCGCGGGTCTGGATGGAAGGCGATGACTGCATCACCGCCCACGGAGGTGCCAAACCTAAGGGAGCTGCGAGCTGAGTCGCATCGTGAAACCGATTGGCCAGGGACAAGATGGCGAGTACAAGTTTTGGGTTGTGCTGGGAGCTTACCTTCTTGTCCTCAACTTCTTTTGGCTCATCCGTGTCCCGGCTGATAGCTTGAGAGGGCGGGGGCATTGTGTAGGGAGCAGGCCGCACTTCTGGCATCAAATGGCCCTCACACTCTCAAAGGCATACTGGCGAGGGGAAGCAGGGGCCTTGGTGCTCGATTGGATTGCTTCGTTTTAAAGGCAACCCCGACGGTCTGCAAAGCGATCAACAGCGGAATGCTTCAGTGGACTTGCACGAATACGTGGTGCATAAATCAATTTGCGTTGGAAGCCCATCTTGGTTGGCTCAGAGTGGCATATTGAGGTCTTACCTGTAGCCTCCATGAAGCCTGAAAGTAAAGCCTACTAGATGGTCAATGCAGGCTTGAGGCTCACTCGTGCCATCTCGCTGCAAAATGGTATGACTCAAACTTTGTGATCTTTTTGGTTGGCTTCTCAGGGAGTGAGTATTCGAGGGAATGTCCAAATTGGAACCTACCCCAATGGTACATCCTCGAAGGTCTGGCAATCAGTTGAGAAAGCGCCCAAGCTCTATGGACCCATGGACTATAGATTCTACCATGGCCACATCCGGGCTGAACGGCATAGCCTGCTCACTCGGGGCTCGGGCCACCACCCGGAGAGGCTGGGCTCGGACCAGCAGTAGAGGCAGATCTGCGGCGCCTTCAAAAAGCTTTTTGAGCGGAGTACATCAATGGGCCTGCGCGGTGTCATGGCTTGGTTGACGTTGGAAGGGGAGCATTTTTTTTAGCAGTTAAGTGGGGGTTTCGCACTAAACCATAACTAGAACCACGGGTGGCCCGAAAGCATAATGGAAAGTGACCAAAGACCAGCAAAGCGAGCCGACATGCAGGGGTGCCAGTGGAGTGGTTGCTCAAGAGTTGGTGTTGCGTGCGCGCGTGCTACCGCGGATATCTGCAAAGTTTGCCCCTCGGTGACTGATAAGCTTCGGTGTTGCGAGCTCTATACAAGTGTTGCTCTGCGCAAGTGCTCGGCCCAAGTGTTCAGAGCAAGTTGCTCTGCGGGTGCATGCTCTAAGCAAGTTGCGATGCGCAAGTGCTACGCAAAAGTATGCTGCGCAAGCTCGGGACAAGTTTCTATGAGCAAGTTCTCCGAGCAAGTTCTCTGCGTGCAGCGCTGACCGCAACATGGCAACCTTTCTATTTGAGCCGGACTTTCTAACTTCAAGGCCGCGGAGACCAAGCAGGATTCGAGCCGGGCCGGTCTTTTTGAAGAGCAGGCGCGTGACCACGAGACAAACTCTCAAGCCCGCGTTCCGACTTGAAAAAGTAGCATTTTACTAGCATTTCGTGTCATCCACCACGCCAATCCTCGGAGAAGGTCGCGCGCGCAGCTCAGAAATCGTAAAAAGTCTTCAGTTTTTGGACATCGACCACGCCAATCCCTGCAGAGGGTCGCGCGGGCACCTCAGAAAAATCACAAAAAGTCCTCAGTTTTTGGACATCGACCACGCAAATCCCCGCAGAGAGTGTCATTTTCGAAGGGTGGGTTCGGTCCCACCGCGCCGCCTTAAGAGACTAACTAATTACTTTCGTGTCCAAATGTCTCGTGCGAATTTGGCTGCGTGATATCTCGTGCAAGTTGTTCTCGTGCAAGTTGGCTCGTGTATGTTGGCTCGTGCAAGTTGGCTCATGCAAGTTGGCTCGGGCAAGTTGGCTCGGGCAATTTGGCTCGTGCAAGTCGGCTCGTGTAAGTTGGCTCGAGCAAGTTGGCTCGTGCAAGTTGGCTCGTGTAAGTTGGCTGTGCAAGTTGTTCTCGTGTAAGTTGGCTCGTGTAAGTTGGCTCATCTCGTGCAAGTTGTTCTCGTGCAAGTTGGCTCGTGTAAGTTGGCTCGTGCAAGTTGGCTCATGCAAGTTGGCTAGGGCAAATTGGCTCGTGCAAGTTGGCTCGTGCAAGTTGGCTCGTGTAAGTTGGCTCGTGCAAGTTGGCTCGTGCAAGTTGGCTCGTGTAAGTTGGCTGTGCAAGTTGACTCGAGCAAGTTGGCTCGTGCAAGTTGGCTCGGGCAAATTGGCTCGTGCAAGTTGGCTCGTGCAAGTTGGCTCGCGCAAGTTGGCTCGTGTAAGTTGGCTCGTATAAGTTTAGCTATACGATAGGGCTGGTGCAAGTTGGCTCGTGCAAGTTTAGCTGTGTGATAAGGCTGGCGATTTTACCGGAAGAACCCTTCGCAATGCTTTCGGGAATAAGCAAAAATCACAAATGTTTCCCAACAACAACCAGGATTGGGCCAAATGTAGATTTGACTCCCGAATTTGGGGATTCCAGCAAAGCAACGAACACCCAGAATGGTCGCATGGTTGCCTGCGCCGGAAGAAAAAAGGAGTCAGCACATCAACGCAAACCCCCTCCTCACCAACGTGATGCTCCCTTCAGGCCTTGGTTTTGCAAAAGGCATATTGTAGGGGTGCGGATTTATTTTGGGATGTTTGTGGAATTTGCTTTCGTTGTTCGTCTTGGCCTGTAAAATGTTGTGTTTTGCAGCATTTTCTCACGGAAACATCCCCAGCATCGCTTTCAATATTCCCCGCATGTTCCGCCACCACCCCCAGCATCACCAGCAGGTAGCGGTGGCTCTCTACCCTTAGGATAATTGCTTACTGTCCGGCAAGGTAGGTAGGTATGTATGTATGCATTTTGAAAAGTAGCAGGGGAATTGGCGGGGGCGGCAGCCCCCGCACGATGGATCAAATATGGGTGCATTTCTGTGGAAAAATCTAAAAAGTAGCGGGAGGGTTTGGGGGCAGCCACGATGGAAGAAAGGGTGCGTCAATTTCTGCAAAGAATAAAAAAGCAGCAGGGGGGTTGAACGGGCACCTCCCATGATGTGCGAAGAAGTGCATACATACAATCATGCATATATATATATATATTACATAGATTACATGCATGCATACATCAACATGAATATAAAGAACACTTGCTGGAGAGGAACTGGTGGTGCTGAGGGTGCGGCAACGCCAAAAACCAACTACAGGGTGCAAAAGCCAAATAGCCACCTGCCGGAGAGGAACCGGGAAAGCAGAGGACTACCGGAGAGGAACTGGGAATGCAGAGGATGTGAAAAGTCAAAGCACCAAAAGCCACATAAACCAGCAAGAAGCCGAAAAGCCAAGAAGCCAAAAGCCAAGAAGCCAAAAGGGAGCAAAACATAAACAAAAAACACGGCCTCAAAAAGCCTCCATATGGTAAGGCGCACTGAACATGCCTGGTGGCCATTTGCATGTGGTGATGGCGGCTCAGTGGGTCAAGATTGGAGGATTCTTGTGGCAAGGGAAGCCAGCAATCAAAACGACCAATCAAGGTTTTTTGAATACATCCAATGTAGACGTCTCATGTCAATCAAACTGTCCTTGTGCATCCAAGGTCGTCACTTTGGCAGATGGAGAAACCAGCCAACCCGTTCCCCTTCGGGACGCCGCACGCATTGGCAACACGCCTCCTCCGCGTCTGACACTTTGGCCCAGGTAGGTTTGCCGTGGTTGGAGCCGCTGCACCTGTGGATGAAGGCAAGACTAGTCCTCTTCAGGAACCCTTGTTTTGACATAAACGCAAAAGAGCGGGTAACAGCTGCAATGGATCTCCAAGAAAAGAACAAAAACGGGTAAGGTCTTTTGAGACCCGTATGTGAAGTGGCTGTTCTTCTTCAAATGAGAGATGAAGAAACTTTTTTAGGCAATGCATTGGAAGGCTGACTAATCAACGCCCTTGCGTACACTAACAAGTAAACGACCTGGCTGACCCACATCTCCCGATTTTCACTTATGGGCCTGTAGTGGCCAGACAGCAGCGCAGTGGCTTCTGGATCTGAGCAGCCGAAGACGTAGAGGTCAGGCACATTTGGCGCCTGGCTTCTCACTGCGATGAATTGTCCAAATATCACCAAGCTTTGATTGCCGCGGCTGATTCTCCCAAACCTTGCATTCTGTGAAGACAAGCGCAAGACGGGACAAGGTTTTCTCAACATGTCAGCGCGAATCACCAATACAAAACACAAGCGCTTCAGTCATGGCCTGCCCCCATTTTCCACACTTTCCTTTTCTAGCCTATGCAACTTTCATCCTGGCAACCCAAGTGTGGTGAATTCACCGAAAACCTCCAAAATGGGATCCCAAAACGGATTTGAACCATGGCCTGTTGACTCGACACTTGAATCCTCGGTTCGGCGGCTCGGCTGTGCGGCCTCCTCCACCTCTGGCTCCTTTGGCTCATCCTCATCGATCCACTGCGCCAGCCAGTCCGGCCCGGGTGCTGCCTCGCCCTGGCCAGGTACATATATACATATATACACACATATATATACATATATATATATATATATTTCTCTCTCTCTATACATATGCATTGTACATACATACATATATATATACAATCCAACTGATGCTACTGTCCTATGCCCAGAGCACGAAAAGCTGTTGTCTTTTTGACAGCTGTGATTTCGAAATGTGTTGCTGCAGCGCTACATCCAGTGCACCTCGCTTAAAAAGGGCGCACTTGACGATGGCAAGTTCTGAAGCCATCATCATGCCGAAATGAAGGAATTCAAATGAAATGCAGCACCATAACCTTTCAAGGCCAGGGCTGGCAACGGGGGAAAACAGGAAAAGCTTGAGAGTAAATTGCGGGCATATCCCAACCGCCTTCAATGGGATTAGGGACCTTGGAGGTGGTACAATCCAACTGATGCTACTGTCCTATGCCCAGAGCACGAAAAGCTGTTGTCTTTTTGACAGCTGTGATTTCGATATGTGTTGCTGCAGCGCTACATCCAGTGCACCTCGCTTAAAAAGGGCGCACTTGACGATGGCAATTTCTGAAGCCATCATCATGCCGAAATGAAGGAATTCAAATGAAATGCAGCACCACAACCCATTCCGATATGCAATCCAGGCTCTGGTAGAAACCGCTACTTCAGTCGGGTATTGATGACCGATACCAGTCTTTGCTTTTCCTTTTCGACTTGGCTCTTCCGGCGCGCAGGTACAAACTTCCAAGCTCGTTGTAGAAGACCATGCTGTTCATACCTGTTGACAGAGCTCTTGGCTGCCCACCTGCCCCGCTTTTGAATGGCCCGTAGATCTCGTCGACGGTGACAAGCATCGTTGCTAGCACTACTGTGTCGGACTATGTGAGGGAGGACCACCGGAGACGAGTACTCAAGCAGCCCACATGTGTTATGCAAAATCCGCTCATACTGAGCTAAGCTGATGTTCGGAAACAGGCGATGCTCTGTGCGCTTGTGCAAGTAGTTCATCACTTGCGTCATCCATTTCCGTTCTGGAAGATCCCCCAGAAGGATCGAATCATCCGCCTTGCCAGTTTTCGAGCGAGATTGCATCTCCGCAGGAAAAAGCACCAATGCCCAACAAGGATACCGGCGCCCCACAGGTTCCACCACATTGTCCCATGTCAGCCCGGTGGCTTCACTAGGTCTAAGGCAACCATCAAACTGCAGCAGGAGAAGGCACATGAAGTCCAACCTTGACTGAGACAGCTGTACCGCCACATCGAAGATCAGCTCCTCCGGAACTGGCAGCTGCATAGACCCAGGCTTCAACTTCCGCCAACTGGCCAAAGTTTCCTTCGGCAAAAAGAGAGCCTTTGGGATATCACATTGCAGCAGCTGCAGACCATAGATAAGATAGGACCCAACTCTAGGCTCAGCCCCTTCCCGCTCATGCATGTAGGTCATGTACTTGACAACCATAGCGTCCAGGTTGCCCTTGTTCACTCTCAGCTTCTGCCGCCTCGCCCATGTATGAAACCCCGCTATCTGTCGATGATACTGATCCAGAGTCTTCTGTGTAACCCTGGAGGCTCGCATGCGGACAAAGGCCCGCAAAGGATGATTCTGAAGGTCAACCAGAGGTGGCTTCTTCGGCTTTTGAGGCTTGAGGGTATGCACCTTTGAAGTTCCCACCGCCAAGTCGACGGGCTTCCTCCTTAGTGTGCTGGCCGAAGACAACCCCCTGCTTGATATAGGATCTGGCATCCTCGGCAGCGATGGGCTTGAAGGAGTCGGTGTTCTTGACCCCTTCCGCATCCACATCTTGTCTCCTTCTGTGAGAACCAGCCATTGTCCTCACCATTTTCTCAGAAGGAATCCTGGGCCAGCGAGACTATCTTGCTGGTCCACGCCTCCACCAAGGCCTTTGAGTAGGCTCCGGCCATGGTGGTCTTGTTCTCGTAGACCCACTTGTCGCCGCGCTTCACTTTCCAGGCTGTTCGTGTCGATGCTGTCCATTGCAACGTCTGGCCAGCGCTAAAAGCTCAGGTCTGTTGGTGAGGATTGCTGCGCTCTTCCTATACGGTGACCCATACATGCAAGCATCAAAAACGACTAGACAACAACGAGGATCTTTGAGGAGCTCGGCAATGGGATGAAACTTCCAGAGCAGGGACCCCCAGGGATTTTCCAGTGTAAACGCAATATTCTTCTCCAAGCATATGCGTATCAACACTGCAGAAAAGCTGCTAGCTGTACCCCCAGAAGCTCCCGACCTCTAGCCCGAGCCACATTCTTGATCGCATGTCGAGCGCGGCTCCATGCAAAAACCAAATAAGTGACATAGAGACCAGTTGTAGAATGAGTTGCTGTGGAGACTCGTGAAAGGTCATGATGGGGTCCATGATGCAAATCCAATGCTGTCAAAGTGCGAAGCCCTTTACGTTGAAGTGCCGCTGAAAAACCCCCTGCTCCAGCAAAGAGTTCCGAACAGTTTCACAGGCGAAACCAAGGGTGTTGAGGGAGTGGATCCTTGCTCATAGGAGTGCGCAGCGACATGTCTGCCCAAGATTCCACTATCACCAGATGCCCAAGTCTCACGCTTTCTCCCAGGATCGAAGGCCCGGGATGGGCCGCCTGCAACATTGTATTGCGTGCGTACATGCCGGATTCGCCATATAAATCTGCATCCAAAAACGTATCCACATGCTCGTCTACAAAGGTTATTCAACAGCATGGATGATGACCGACCCTTCTCATAGCTAAGCACCGTAACCAGGTTACCCAAAGAAACACCATCTTGCCCATATTGGGAACACTGCGTGCCCACCTTCGCAACCCCATCAACAAGACTCGACCCTCCTTGCCATTGATGTGCTCTTTTGCAAGCTTCCAACGGCCTGACGAAATCAGTGTCCATCGGCTGCGATCATGCCACACATCACGGACTGGAGGGCGAGAGACCGCCTCCATGAGCGTACTTGGTCTTGACTTTGCACTCCCAAATAACTGCTGCTTTTTGGCTCGCATCTTTCTGGGCTCTGAAGATTCCATCCGCTGCCGCAATTCACGTCCATAGCCAGTGATAACACCCAGCGAAGGCTGAGCAGAATGGCCATAGGAATGAAGGTCACTCATCGCCTCCTCATCATCTGCAAGGATGGCAGCGCGTTCGTCCAACCAACCGCCACTTCTCTCGAATCCTGACCTCCTTGCCAATCTCTGCAGAACTGGCCTTGGTAGACATCAGGGCAAATCCGTAAGCCGAGCCGATCTAGGAGCTGTAAGCTCATGCTCCACCAGAAGCACCAAGCCCATAACCTGTCGCAGCTCCCGTCGAATGTTAGGCCACATAGGAGCCCGCCGCCCCAGGTGCATAGCTGAAAACTTGTAAACTGCAGATAGGCAAGAAAGCCCCAGGCGGTTCAACTGCAAAAAGAAGTTGGTGTGCCCGAGCCACACTCGAAGCAAATCGCCCGACACCCGCTTCCTCTTTTGGATGGCCTTGGTGGACAAGTATAGCCGCGATGCTCTCGAAGTCTTATTCCTTATGAAGACCCTGGAGCCAAAGTTGAACTGAAGCCCCAATGACTCGGTCCGTGATCTCAAAGGGGATGCCAAGTGCTGCAAAGCGCTGCGCGATGCCATTCATTGTGGCATCAACTTGATCAGAGCTGGCCACAACCACATTGACGTTGTCCACGTAGACGCCAACCACTGGGCCAGAACGAACATCCGGGCAAGGAACCTTATCGCGAAGAAAACGGTCGCCTGCCGTGAACCACCACCTCGTTAGCCAAGAAAAGGGCCCAGGACCAACCGAGAAATTTAAAAGCAATCCCCCACGACACCTGCGCACATGGCAAAAGCCGGAAGCTCCATGACGTCACCAACCCCATCCACGAAGTCGGCGAAATCCAAGTCCATGAAGCTCGAAGGAGTGCTAAGTTGCGTACACGGTGGTCTCTTTTGCTTGGCATTCGCATCACGAGCATCCACAATCAGTCGCTGCATTCCATCCTTCTTGGCAACTGTGAAGAATGCCACCCTCCCTTTTCGCCGCCGTCTGAAGGTCAAAAGGCCTGAAGAATCCAAAGCCCTGAAAAGCTCAAATCTGCGGCCCCAATCTGATCGCAGACCAGGATCCCAGTAAGGCTCCACTGGATCAGAAGCGTTGACATCCGCCTCCAGCTCGGCAGGAGACTTCTCGATGAAGTACTGGTAGTTCTTCAAGTAGATGCTAGCCTCAGGTGGCAGAAGGTCTTCCGCAGGCTTGACACCCAAGCGCCGGTGCAAAATCTTGATCTTGCTCAAGTCCGTAGCAACTAAATGAGCAGCCTCCTGTGAATACATCCTCCATGATCCATTCTTGCACGGAAGTCAGTGGAAGGTGTGAATTAGCTGTCTGAAAAGGAACTGCAGCGAGGTCATTCAACGTCTTGAAGGAATGATCCACCCGCCTCCGCTGTGCTGTGCAGGTCAAACGGGGCAAAGGAAAAGGGCCCCCATGCTTCCGATCATCTGATCGGAACCGAATTCCGAAATCACTCCATGCATCGGCCATGGGCCGAGGAGCTTCGACCTGAAACCCCTGACAACCGCAACCACTCGGCATGGTAGCTGAGGACGTTGCCAGGGCCAAGGGCCACACTCTCGCGCAACTCCTTCGAAGATCGGGTTCCGGCAATCGGGAACTCCTTGTCCTCGGCATTGTGCATGAGGGCCACCGCTGCGCTAAGTTCCAACCGCCGCTTGCCAGCATTGTCACGGTGGTCCCCCAACAAACGGAGGTCCCCAAGCTCCTTGCCTTTCTTGGCCCTCCAATCATCCAGATCCCGCATGGAGATCTTCTCAACAAAGAGCTCATTCTCGCGAAGAACCAACCCTTCTGAGGTGAAGCCAACACCTGTCGCTTCCGTAGCCATGAGCTGGGCATCAATCACCTCCCCAAAATTGGGATGGGGAAGGATCAGCAACAACCCAGCCCACCGAATCCAGCTCAACGGCTCCCTCTCCCAGAATTGCTGCCATGACCTGAGACTGTCGCTTGTAGTTCAGAACCGAAGCGCGGGAAATTGGGTCATGGGCATAGACCTCGTTCTCGATGTCCTGGGGAAAGGGCATGCATCTGTCCAGAATTCGGTGAGCCTGAGTGGCCAGGTTATGGCGTTGGAATTCGAGGTCGGGTGTCAACGTGATCCAGTCTCCAGCATCCACTCGGTGAAGCAAGATCCTATGGTGCCATGTCAAACCATTGGGGTCATGCGGATATGACACTAGCACTTGCACTTCCGGAATGTCCAGAGTCAGAGCCATTGAGTCGCCGCTTCAGGTCTGAGGGTCGCTTTGGCCCAGTTCGCGATGTCAGGGTAGTCGTCGCCACAGGTAGCTCAAGTGTCAGCTTTGGGGTCCTAAACATTGGGAATAGCACCGCTATGACTAGACCAAGCAAAGCCACAGCCAGCACACGGGAGAACCACCGCCACCAGAAAAGTTCCCAGTCACAGCCTGAACAACTACCTTCCAGCTGTTGAACCAGATACCGAAGTTGCGCCACTTCCACTCGCAAAAGCTCAGCCTCTGCAACTGCCAGCTGAGATGTTGAGGTACGACGCCAGTCCAACACTGCGATCAGGCTGACGACCCAACCCAGATGGCTCCACCACATCAATCACCAAAAGGAGAACAGGAAAAGCTTGAGAGTAAATTGCGGGCATATCCCAACCGCCTTCAATGGGATTAGGGACCTTGGAGGTGGTACACATATGCATTATATGCACATGAATATGTACATGTATATGTCAACTATATATCCGCGCTCCTCCCCAAAGGAACCTACCTTCTTCCTTCTTCCTCTCCAGTTCATGTTTTACCCATCTAGCACTAGAACCACAGATCTCTCAAGTCTCACTAAGTGGGATTAGGACCAAACTAAGACTGAACCAAACATATCTCAACTAGGACTAGCACCAAGCTAAGACAAGAATCAAGGATCTCTCAACTATAACCACGACAGAACCAGGACTGGACTATTAAACTATTAAACTCTGGCTATCATAGTAATGGACTTTCAAGTATCATTTCCTCTATTTGTTCCTTCATAATTTCTAACTACTTCAGCACTAAAATATATTGGTATATGTTAGCTTTTACAAGCGACTCGCTCTGCGTGCGGGGGAGAAGCCGCTAAGTACAAATGGGGATGAGTGAATAATTTTGATACGAAGAGCCCTACCAATGAAGTCTCCTGTGTCCTGAAGTGGTGCCATAGCCCTTTGGGCCTCCGTGAGCGCTGCCAGAAGGCTCTCAGCACAACGGGGAAGCAGCGCTGTGAAGGCAGCTTCGCCCTCCTTTGTCGAAGCACTTGCTGTGGAACCGAACAAGGTCGACGTTTTCCTATGGTGTCCTATTTCCATGAAACCACGAGGGCACCCTCGCCAGGAGATTCACCCTCAAGCAACCCCTGGAGTTGATATGGAACGCCAACATGGGTGGTGTCCCCGCATTCCGCTTGAAAGCAAACCAATAGAGGGGCCCCGAAAAGGCCAAACAATTTGGCCAATAGTTTGGGTGTTGGCCAAACAGCTTGGCCTTCTGGTGTTGATTTTTAGAAGCCTCTGCAATGGACACTGGGAACGGTCAGGACAAGACTTGGTAAAGGCTCCACCCAGCGCTAACCCCAGGCTAGCCCCAAGAGTCGATGATTGGACGAATGAGTCTTCCTCCTGTTGCCCTGTGCTTCTCTAAGACATTTCGGCCCGACCCCACCAGCATCACCAGCATCACCAGCATCACCAGCATCAGCCCGACAGCACTAGCTGTTTGGGTGGCCAGCGCAGCAGCTATGGGGCGCGGTTGTCCCCTGTAGTGGGATTTTTTCTTTCTTGTTTAAACAACGCCCCCTCTGCGCCTCTTTGGGTAGTCCGTCTCATGTGTCTCAAGTGGTGCGGACAACGAGGTTCTTAGGTGCTACTGCGGATGGACGAAATCCTGCACCACGTAAGGAACCCCCTGTAAATACCAACGAACAAAGGTTTCCCATGGTTTCCAAGTGGTGCAGGATTGCGTCCATCCACAGTATGGACAACGCACAAACCTCTGACGTTTCTGATCCGAGACGCGGCCGCCAGGCGCTGCTTCGCCTCCCGCCGCATCTCCGGAGGCCAAAAGCTGCGGAGCACCTGGCAGGACGAGGCGCTGTTCGGAGGTTGGGCTATAGCAAGCGCAAGGCTCTCACGGCTAGGTCCTCCAGACTTGAGAGGTGCTCGAATAAGGGTAGAGATCAGAATAAGTTTTTTGATTTATATTTTTTTGGCTTTTTTGTGGATTTTAGTAGGGGAACCCTCCCCAACAAAAGTTGGGAAACACGATCAACGCCATGTTGCGGAAAAGTGGCAGGTTGCAAGACTTTGCCAAATAATTAGTGGCCGGCAAACTGGACCATTGTCAAGATCACCTTGACAAAAATCTGATTGGTTGCCTGTTGTTGCTGGAGGGCTGAACCGCGAGCGAGGCCTTTTGATCGCATATACAAACTCGTAGAGGGCGGCTTGCATGCAAACTATCACGCATGGAATAGCAAAGCACAAATCCTCAAACACAGGCAGCAGACATGAGGGACGAGGCAGCAAAAGGCACATCCACCTGAGGCACACTTGGGGGCTAGTCAAAAGGTCCTTTACATGGGATGACCCTTGAAAAAACAACTAAAACCTGATAGTTCCCACTGAATGGGAAAACAATTACCCATAGCCATGCGGGGGACAGATAGATCAACCCCCACTTCTCACCTCACTATCAACCACTGGGGTCATCAATTCGACATCACCTGGTGCACATCGAGGGTCCATCAATCACCTCCCATCTGAGCCCAGTCTTCGCCGAATTGTGGGGCCTGCAAATGTGGCCCGCTCGCTTAAAACTCGGCGAACGGGCCGAAGTTGGACGCGGCAAGACTTTGTAGCTCCTCTTGAAATTGTGTTTGACCCCTCTGCTTGAATGTCGAAAAGATTGCATGAAGCACCTGACACAAGCAGTCATGTTGGATTGGATAGGACTGGAGCTTTGGGGTTGTAGAGAGCGAGACAGAGAAAGAGAGAGAGAGAGACAGAAAGAGAGAGAGAGAGAGAGAGAGAGAGAGAGAGAGAGCTAGTTTCGTGCCTACCAACGCTCTCTAGCATGATTTGGTTGGACTTCCATGGATTGACAAGCATCCAGTTGATCCACAAGATTGCTGCACCCTTTAAGTGTCACACTTATGGGTCAAAGTTAAACCAGGGAACCGCAGGTTTAGCCCTTGGTTCCATTTACCCGCGCAACCCATTTTGTCGTTATCCCCCCAATCTTTCCAAGAGGAATTTTTGGTCTCAGTTTGGGGACCTATGGAACTTGGTGGAAGGGCAACAAATTTTTGACCACCACCGTCACATCCTCTCTTCAGATGGGTCCCCTCACTCGCCGACCTCCTGATCCACGTGCACCCCAGTGCGGCTGGCGTGCACCATGAGGCAACCGAGCACCACTGGCAGGGGGTTGCCGGTGCCTCCGGCGAACAGACGCGGATGCGGCGGGTTTCGGAGGGTGGCCCCGTCTTTTTTGTTTTGGGGGTTGTAAAGGGGAACCAAAAGGCAAACCCACCATTCCTTTGTGGGTTTCTAAGTGCCCTAAGCCAAAGGGAAACTACCGGAAAAAAAGGGGCACCGATTCCTGTTTTGAGACAAACCCATGATGTTTGACTCCCGACACTTTGATACATGTTTCTTTCAGTTCCCTCAGCCATCCCCCAAAAAGGTGCAGGGCCCACAAACGACAACGCCAGTGCTATTTCGCCTGAGACTCTTCTAAGACTTTGGAGGCGGAATACTGCGAAACAAAATGAGAGAGCCAGTGGGACGCCGTGCTAGGGACCAAAAGAGGGGACTCTTGAGGCAAAAGAGTCATGACGATGTCAAATGACTGCTGAAATACGCGTGCCCCATGCAACCCGCCCTCTAAAACAATCAAGGCACGGTGTCCTACTTTTCTCCTATAGAGATCACCTAGGTCCTCCAGTAGAGAGGTTAAACTAAGGGTACGCTTTTGTATTTTAGTAGGGGAACCCTCCCCCACAAAAGGGTAAAAGGGCACTACTGGGGGACCTAGTCACCCTAGCAAACGACAACTCCCCATAAATTGGCCCAACATGTGATGTTTGAAACCAGCCTTGAGAGGCGGATTCGTCCGGTGACTATAGTGATTGGCACAAACACCGGAACAAAGAAATGCGAATGGGGGCTGGGCGTCTTCTAGACAAAACAAAGGAACCACACACTGAAACACATGTCCAACTCATCGAAAAAGACATCTTCACTTTGAAGGGATAATCAATTCTCAATGTTTTTGTTGGTTCTTCGGGGTTTGGTACTGCTTAGCTTCCTACCCGGAGTCTACGAATCGCATCCGCCACAGCCTACACAGGGCGCCGGGTGAGTATGGGGATTGGCAATGGCCAGACTACGATGAAAGCAGATGCAACCGAGTCGGAGAATGCGGAGTTTAGCACAAGCTCCGACTGGCACAAACCTGACATGAAGCTTTCGAACCTCAAGATGCCTTTGTTATGAGTGCAACTAGAGCGGCTTCGTTGCTTCCTTACAAAACGTTTCCGGGTGAAGACATGTGGGAAGTCCAGCCGCCTTGTTTTCCGCGAACCTAAGGAGTTGAAGGGCTATAACAAACAAAAACAACCATAGGGCGTGTAACTCGGCTTTGTTTAGAACACGGGCGTTCTACGTGAATCTCTTGATGAAGCGCGGCAGGTGGTTCTGTGGCCCATGGTTTGATCCGCACAAGCAGCAAGGCTCTGCAGAGAAAACGAGCGGTAAACTCGGCGTAAACTCCTGGATCCACACGTGTTTTCAAAGGCTCGCTTCTCCTGCAGTTGTGTGTTTTTGGTCTCTGAAGATCAGGCCGGCAGGAGACAATTTGAGGCCTTTGGGCCGACATGGGCCAAGAGGAAGTAATCACTTTCGACCAGCCCGGAAGGTTTCACTGCGTCCCTTGTTTGTTCCACTTGCATTTTCTTCAAGCGACAAAGACAAAGTGAACATCCCGGAGGCTGCGGTTCCCGAGTTCATAGGGTCTGGGTCCATCAGCCCGGGGAAGATGAAAAACAGCGGGGCTCCCGAATTGGATGCATCTTTAGGGGGAAACCAATCACGTCACAGTCATCATGTCTTCTCTCCACTGAATTTTGCAATTGGGGGCACCGCCTTTGAAAGCCATGGTGGTTGGCCCAAAGAGCAGCTAAGTCTCACTTCCTGATCGGCCAACACCATAAAGTTGCTGTTCACCACTAGTGTCCTCATGTCATCTACCAATCATCATGTCATCATTTTGCCACAGGGGGCACGATCGCCAAGGCCAAAGGGTCATTGACAAACCTCGCAGCGCGCCTGGCATGCGCTGCCATAGCTCATGGCCCCGTGCCGGCGCCTCGCGCAAGGCCTCGCGACTTCGCGACGGGGGGCGCTGGCGGCTGGGCAGCTGGGGGCGTGTGTGGCGCGTGTAGACCCCAAGGTGAAGACACCTTGGACCATCGCAGTGAGCAAAGGCGCATGGATAGGGTCTTAATCAACTGAAGTGAGCAAGTCGTCGCTGAAGGCGGCCGGGAAGGCTGTGAAACTATTGAGCTGCACGTGCCCTGCCGAACATGTAGATGAACTCCATGTCAAGTTCAATTCAGCATAAACCAGTCTCAACACTGTCTCATCCAGTCAGCACAACTCCATTCCAAGGGCAATTTAACGCTGAAGCAGTGAAGGCAACAAATGGTCCCGTCCGCAAGCACAAGATTCCGGCCCAGGTGAATTTGTGACCGCCGGGCATGAAACACAAGCAAACAAAAGGCAGCATAACCCCTCATCTGCCTGGGGTTGCTGAAAATTTAATGGGGTCTGCTAAGCAAGGATGCCACCAGAAGGAGGGAAACCACCCAACCACTGCTACCTGTGAGGATTCAGGATTTATTTTGAACAACGCCGTCTGCCTAAGCCTTCAAATCTGCGCCTCCAACTCGCGACGAAGGCCTTCCATTCCATGCTTTGAGCGCAAACAGCAGGTGAAGCTGAGCTGTGTCGCACCTCCCTTTGGCTCAGAAGTGTTTTTTCATATTGAAAGACCTCAGGAAAGAAATCCAGCTGCTTAACCCTGCCTGGGGAAGAAAAAAAACACGTATTTCCAATAGTGATAGATGCCCTTTAAAAACCAGCAAGGGAACACAACTCATATTCATTTCAGCAAATGGAAGGAGATGGGGCAGAAAGCGGACTTGCATTTCGCAACGGAGCTGCTGTGTGCTGGCAAGCAACTTCGTAGCATTCCCGTTCCCAACCGCTCATTCTTTTCATCAACACCTGTGGGTGAATTGCTTTCGAGTCGTGCAACACTTTGAACTGAGAGGCAAAGGTTGCAGCATGCATCCATTGGCACAGGACCTCACGGATCTGACTCTATCCCATTTGCTGCTCTTTTCGCCGCACTCATCTCAGCAGCCCAAATCTCGCGTAGTTGATCCTCGGGCCCGGCAAAACTGATGCGGACGAGCTTTGAAGTGGCTGGAACAAACCCTGGGGAAAGGAGGCCTGGACAGTGCACTTCAATTGCTGAAGTCCATATCCTACTACATATATCCGCCGACAACAGACGGCGTGTTGGACATAAGAAATGCTCTTTACCTGTTACCCCTCCCCTAACCCCTCCCCAGGGGCAGCATTTCAGACTATTGGGGGGGGGGGGGGTCCACGTACCACGCGGTGATTCGAAGACGCTTCACTAAATCTGTTCATTGTGCGGGCTCAGTTTGTCAAAAACATTGGGGTGTTCGATTCCCCCCGGGTGCGCTTTCGCATCCTTAGCAGTTCCAGTGGCACATCGCCAGCATCACCTGCATCATCCGCATCAGCGCCTGCCAAGGATGCGGATGATGCAAGTGATGCTGGGGATGTTGCCCATGCTGGTGAAGGAAATGAAGGGGGGAAAGGGGAAAGGATCTCAACAGCGAAAGGGGGGGAAAGATCTCAGGGAGGAAAGGGAGAAGATCTGGGGAAAAAATGCCTTAAGGGGGAAAGGGGGGAAAAGATCTTTGGGAGGAAAATGGAAATCTTTCTTGGGGGGAACAGGCCCTAAGGGGCAATGGGGGGACAGGATCTCAAACGGGAAAGATCTCAGGGAGGAAAGGGAGAAGATCTGAGGAAAAAATGCCTTAAGGGTGTTGAGATCCTTTCCCCCCTTCCCTTTAAGGCCTCTCCAGATCTTCTCCCTTTTCCTTCCTAAGATTGTTTCCCGCCTTTCCTTGTTGAGATCCTTCCCACCCTTTCCCCCCTCAGGCCTTTCCCCCCCCCTGAGAGCTTCTCCCTTTTCCTTTCCTTCCTTAGATCTTTCCCCCCTTTCCCTGTTGGCCTTTTTCTCTCAGATCTTCTCCCTTTCCTCCCTAAGATCTTTTCCACCCCTTTCCCTGTTGAGATCCTTTCTCCCCTTTCCCCTCTACGGCCATTGCCCCCAGATCTTCCCCCTTTCCTCCCTAAGATCTTTCCCCCCCTTTCCCTGCTCAGATCCTTTCCCCCCTTTCCCCCCTAAGGCCTTTCCCCCCCTGAGATCTTCTCCCTTTTCCTCTTGCCACCTTTCCCTGTTGAGATCCATTCCCCCTTTCCCCCCTAAGGCCCTTTCTCCCTCTGAGCTTTTCCCTTTTCCTCCCTACGATGTTTTCCCCCCTCTCCCTGTTGAGATCCTTTCCCTCCTTCCCTTGTAAGGCCTTTTTTCCCCCCGCGATCTTCCCCCTTTTCCTTCCTAAGATCTTTCCCCCCCTTGCCTTGTTGAGATCCTTTCCCGCCCTTTCCCCCCTAAGGCGTTTTCCCCCCCAAGATCTTCTCCCTTTTCCTCCCTAAGATCCTTTGCCCCCTTTCCCTGTTGAGGTCCTTTCCCCTCTTTCCCCCCTAAGGCCTTTCCCCCCCTGAGATCTTCCCCTTGTCCTCCCCAAGATCTTTTCCCTTGGTTGAGATCCTTTCCCCCTTTCCCCCCAAGATCTTCTCCCTTTTCCTCCCTAGGATCCTCTCCCACCTTTCCCTGTTGAGCTCCTTTCCCCCTTTTTTGCCAAGGCCTTTTCAGATCTTCTCCCTTTTCCTCCCGAAGATCCTTTGCCCCCTTTCCCTGTTGAGATCCTTTCCCCCTTTCCCCCTAAGGCCTTTTCCCTGCCTGGGATCTTCTCCCTTTCCTCACTGAGATCTTTCCCCCCCTTTCCCTGTTGAGATCCTTTCCCTCCTTTCCTTCCTAAGGCCTTTCCCCCCGCTGAGATCTTCTCCCTATTCCTCCTTAAGATCCTTTGCCTCCTTTCCCCGTTGAGATCCTTTCCCTTCTTCCCTTTAAGGCCTTTCCAGATCTTTTCCCTTTTCCTTCCTAAGATTGTTTCCCCCCTTTCCCTGTTGAGATCCTTCCCACCCTTTCCCGCCTAAGGCCTTTCCCCCCTGAGAGCTTCTCCCTTTTCCTTCCTTAGATCTTTCCCCCCTTTCCCTGTTGGCCTTTTTTCCCCCAGATCTTCTCCCTTTCCTCCCTAAGATCTTTTCCACCCCTTCCCTGTTGAGATCATTTCTCCCCTTCCCCCTCTAAGGCCTTTGTCCCCAGATCTTCTCCCTTTCCTCCCTAAGATTTTTCCCCCTTTCCCCCTGTTGGGCTTTCCCCCCTAAGTCCTTTTCTCCCAAATCTTCTCCCTTTCCTCCCTAAGATCTTCCCCCCCCCTTTCCTCCCTAAGATCTTTCCCACCCTTTCCCTGTTGAGATCCTTTCCCCCCTTTCCCTCCCAAGGCCTTTCCCCCCCCTGAGAGCTTCTCCCTTTTCCTTCCTAAGATCTTTTCCCCCCTTTCCCTGTTGGGCTTTCCCCCCTAAGTCCTTTTCTCCCAGATCTTCTCCCTTTCCTCCCTAAGATCTTCCCCCCCCCCTTTCCTTCCTAAGATTGTTTCCCCCCTTTCCCTGTTGAGATCCTTCCCACCCTTTCCCCCCTGAGGCCTTTCCCCCCCTGAGAGCTTCTCCTTCCGTAGGTCTTTCCCCCCTGTCCCTGTTGGCCTTTTTTCCCCCAGATCTTCTCCCTTTCCTCCCTGAGATCTTTTCCACCCCTTTCCCTGTTGAGATCATTTCTCCCCTTTCCCCCCTAAGGCCTTTGCCCCCAGATCTTCTCCCTTTCCTCCCTAAGATCTTTCCCCCCCTTTCCCTGCTCAGATCATTTCCCCCCTTTCCCCCCTAAGGCCTTTCCCCCCCTGAGATCTTCTCCCTTTTCCTCCCTAAGATCTTTTGCCATTTTTCCCTGTTGAGATCCATTCCTCCTTTCCACCCTATTTCTGCCTCTGAGTTTTCCCTTTTCCTCCCTACGATGTTTTCCCCCCTCTCCCTGTTGAGATCCTTTCCCTCCTTTCCCCCCTAAGGCCTTTTTTCCCCCCGCGATCTTCCCCCTTTTCCTTCCTAGGATCTTTTCCCACCTTTCCTTGTTGAGATCCTTTCCCGCCCTTTCCCCCCTAAGGCGTTTTCCCCCCCAAGGTCTTCTCCCTTTTCCTCCCTAAGATCCTTTGCTTGCTTTCCCTGTTGAGATCCTTTCCCCCCTTTCCCCCCTAAGGCCTTTCCCCCCCTGAGATCTTCTCCCTTGTCCTCCCCAAGATCTTTTCCCTTGGTTGAGATCCTTTCCCCCTTTCCCCCCGAGATCTTCTCCCTTTTCCTCCCTAGGATCTTCTCCCACCTTTCCCTGTTGAGCTCCTTTCCCCCTTTTCCCCCTAAGGCCTTTTCAGATCTTCTCCCTTTTCCTCCCTAAGATCCTTTGCCCCCTTTCCCTGTTGAGATCCTTTCCCCCTTTCCCCCCTAAGGCCTTTTCCCTGCCTGGGACCTTCTCCCTTTCCTCACTGAGATCTTTCCCCCCCTTTCCCTGTTGAGATCCTTTCCCCCCTTTCCCCCCTACGGCCTTTCCCCCCGCTGAGATCTTCTTCCTATTCCTCCTTAAGATCCTTTGCCCCCTTTCCCTGTTGAGATCCTTTCCCCCCTTCCCTGTAAGGCCTTTCCAGATCTTCTCCCTTTTCCTTCCTAAGATTGTTTCCCCCCTTTTTTGTTGAGATCCTTCCCACCCTTTCCCCCCTCAGGCCTTTCCCCCCCCTGAGAGCTTCTCCCTTTTCCTTCCTTAGATCTTTCCCCCCTTTCCCTGTTGGCCTTTTTTCCCCCAGATCTTCTCCCTTTCCTCCCTAAGATCTTTTCCACCCCTTCCCTGTTGAGATCATTTCTCCCCTTTCCCCCCTAAGGCCTTTGTCCCCAGATCTTCTCCCTTTCCTTCCTAAGATCTTTCCCCCCCCCCCCTTCCCTGCTGAAATCCTTTTCCCCCTTTCCCCCCTAAGGCCTTTCCCCCCCCTGAGAGCTTCCCTTTTCCTTCCTAAATCTTTTCCCCCCTTTCCCTGTTGGGCTTTCCTTCCTAAGTCCTTTTCTCCCAGATCTTCTCCCTTTCCTCCCTAAGATCTTCCCCCCCCTTTCCTCCCTAAGATCTTTCCCACCCTTTCCCTGTTGAGATCCTTTCCCCCCTTTCCCTCCCAAGGCCTTTCCCCCCATGAAGATCTTTTCCCCCCTTTCCATGTTGGCCTTTTTTCCCCAGATCTTCTCCCTTTCCTCCCTAAGATCTTTTCCACCCCTTTCCCTGTTGAGATCATTTCTCCCCTTTCCCCCCTAAGGCCTTTTTGCCCCAGATCTTCTGCCTTTCCTCCCTAAGATCTTCCCCCCCCCCCCCAGCTCCCTGTTGAGATCATTTATTTCCCCCCTTTTCCTTCTAAGGCCTTTTCCCACCCTCAGTTCTTCTCCCTTTTCCTCCCAAAGATCTTTCCCCCCCTTTCCTCCCTAAGTCCTTTTCCCTGAGTTTGTCTCCCTTTGCCTCCCTAAGATCTTTTCCCCCCTTTCCCGCTTAAGATCCTTTCCCCCGTTTCCCCCCTAAGGCCTTTTCCCCCCAAGATCTCCACCCTTCTCTTCCCAAAGTCTTTTTCCCCCTTTCCCGTTTGAGATCCTGTCCCCCCATTGCCCCTTAGGGCCTGTTCCCCCCGAGAAAGATTTCCATTTTCCTCCCAAAGATCTTTTCCCCCCTTTCCCTTAAGGAGGAATAGGGAGAAGATCTCAGCGGGGGGAAAGGCCGTAGGGGGGAAAGGGGGGAAAGGATCTCAACAGGGAAAGGGGGGGAAAGATCTCAGGGAGGAAAGGAAAAAGATCCCAGGGAGGAAAAGGCCGTAGGGGGGGAAGTGGGGGAAAGGGAGGAAAAGGGAGAAGATCTCAGGGGGGAAAAGGCCTTAGGGGGGAAAGGGGGGAAAGGATCTCAACAGGGAGAGGGGGGAAAACATCTTAGGGAGGAAAAGGGAAACATCAGAGGGAGAAAAGGCCTTAGGGCGGAAAGGGGGAATGGATCTCAACAAAGAAAGGGGGGCAAAAATCTCAGAGGGGAAGGGGGCAAGGGGACAATTCCAAAGGGACGCAAATAAGAAAGCAGGCCTGTAATGTCGGCGGCCTGAGCCGGAGGCACTAAAATATATACATATATATATATATAACACATACACGTATATGCACATGCTCACTTCCTGAGTGGATTGAACTCAGAAGTGAGTATATAGCGGCAGCCATCGCTCGAGACATGGCAAGCCTGGCCCCGGTGCCTGGCATTTTGAAGCCACTGCTTTGCCCTCAGCATCTGAGAAGGCAGGCCGCAACATGGATGCCCATATTCAACAAATCCGTGATCTGACCAGCGGGACATTGATAAAAACAAAAAAAAACAGAAGACACGCAAGGGCTGAGCTTTTCTTTCCTAGCTCCAGAGTGCTCAAGGTTTAAAGCTCATAGACCTTGAAGGGCTATGCGCCGAGGCATCTTTCCGTTTCTCACACTCGCACTCAGTCTGCAACAAGCAAGAGGTCCTGGTCTTTGCGGGCCTGTACAGCTGTGCTTGTAGAATCTGTGCGCAAACAAGGAACACGGCCAAGCCAACAAAAAGCTTTGGAGGAGCAAGCCATGCATGTTGCAATACCCGAACCTTCCTCAAAACAAGTCAAATGTTGGCTTTGCCCGAGTCCCACTGTCCCACTAGCAGTGGATGCTGGGGGGGGATGTCGGTCTGATATCAATTGTCTTGTCTGGGAAACGCCACAAAGCTCAACCAGTGAACTGAGTCAATTGCTCAACAAATGAAGCGGTTTTCTGAGCGAAACATTGCCCGCAAACGAGGGAAACACAACACCGCAAATAAACGCATGATTCCTACACCCATTCTTTCTGCAACACACGCACACACACACACACAAATAAGCGCAACTGACTGGGATAGCAAACAAGAAAAGCCGACAAAAAAGCAAGCACGCAAACAAACCAAACAAACTACAACATCAAGCAAACAAAGCCAGAAAGCAAGCAAGCAAGCCAGCAAGCCAGCCAGCCAGCCAGCAAGCAACCAGATAAACAAACAACGCCCACAAAAAAGCAGACACACACACACACACACAGCAAGCACGCCCGCAAGAACAAACGCAGCCCTGCGCGCATGCGCCGGGGCCCCGGCCCTGGGGGGCTCTGATGGCGCTGCAAGGCTGCCGCCAAAGCCGGGGACGCGGCCGCCGGCCGGCCTTTGTCCTGCGGCTCAAGCGGAGCCAGAGTTGTCATAGCGCAACCTGGAAAGGTTGATATGGCCTGGAAAGGTTTAATAAGGGATACTGTGGTGGACATCTATTCGAATTCATGGATATTGGAAGGTAGCCTCAAAGCCACAACTTCAAATGGACCGCAGCCCCGAAATAAACCACGCGTGAGATTGGTCAACCAAGAACGTCTGCATAACAGGCGATGTCAATTGGCCTGGGCGAAGAGAGGAGTTGAAAAAGGGGCTCGGATTTGGGCGCAAGGAGGGCATCATGGCTCATCCAGGAGGGGCGTTGCGCCACTACTGAAGTTCTTTCATGAATAGATTGAAGGCATGGAAAGCGACACGTCCCAACGAGTAAAGCTGTGCGCGCCACACCGGCACAGCTGCCGGCCGCTGGTTTATGCCTTTTTGCGCTTCTCGCGGACATATTTTCCACTCATTTCAACCAAACGGGCACGCGATACTCGCTGCTGCAGCGGACCTCCTCGTCTTTAGAAGCCCAAGGGCTCCTGAAGGCCGAGTGGAACACGGTCTTGATGCTGCTGTAAGGCTGCGGCGTCTTCGGTTGGTAATGGAACTGCCGGAAAATCAGGACCTCGTCCTTGGTCATTTCTGGGTAGAAATACCTCGGAATATCAGGGGCTCAAATCTCTGAAGCATAAACATGGGGTAAAATGCCAAATGTTCAAACAAACAACCCAGAGTGGCTGTCGCTACTAAAACAAAGAATGCTTAAAACATCAACAAGGGAAACGAACGAGCTCCGCTGAACAGCTCAAACCTGTGAGCAAGGGGAAGGGAGAGCAAACGGCAACTATGTGACAACTACAGCTACAGCATTCGTCGCGATTGCGCCTGCTCAGTTGGACGGCCGGTTGAATAAACCAAATATGGCTTGAACACACACTAGCGCGGACAACAGGGTGTTTCATTTTGAGGCCCCCCCCCTGTTTTGGATCTTTCAAAAGGAAACCAACCGGAAACTGAAGCGATGTTAGGGCTCCGAATCCTAGAAGTGACACAGATGTTGTTGGTTGCGGTTGACCCCTCTGCAAGAGTTTGACTCTTTTTCTGGGTTTGGTCTAGTGGACAGCCCAACTTGATTTCAACCAAGTTAAAGTCTAAAGATCCGTTACCCAATCGCAGTCCAGTGGGACTCTTCGGGCATGGGTGCCACTGCTGCTTGGGGTTGAACTTCAAGCCCATGTTGTACTGCCCGCCCGGCACAAAGCCGTGCACTTCTTGGGGCACGATATCTTCCACGCTGATGGTGTTGGGATCGCACACCGCCAGCGGCACGCCTGGCGTGTGGACGAAATGAAAAACTAAAAACACATGTCGGGAATACATCAAAATGGGTCAACAATAGGCTTGTTGACAAAACCCAACCCTTGAAAACCCAGCCCTCAATGGTTTTTTTGTGTCAAAATAGGCTTGACCGAGTGATACCTTTCAACTTTCGGTTTCCCTGAAAGGCCCAAAAAGCAAAGAAAACGCGCCCAGCTCAAAAACCCAAAGCTGCCCGCACCTCGAACTGGGCCAACCATCGGCAGCACCGGGCGCCAGAAGTTGATCATCGAGTACCCGCCGCCAGAGTCAAGTTTCGAGAACCACTCATCGAAGAACTCCGCTCCAAAGATGCTTCCTAGGAAAAGGAAGCGCTTTATTTGCTTGCAACTAACGAGTGAAGTTCAGAAGTGAAACCAGGATGTGCTTGCCCCGAACCAGGCAAGTGAAATCAGGATGTGTTTCTTGTGTGTGTGTGTGTGTGGGTGGGTGGGTGAGTGGGGGGCAGTGGGTGCGTGCCTGTTTCTGGGCATGTCTGTGTGAGTTTGCTTTCTTGCTTGCTTGCTCGTTCATTTCTTGGTATGCTTGCGTGCTTGTTTGGCCGTGTGATTGTTTGAATACTTGCTTGCTGGCACTTGGATTCCCTCAGGACTATCCGGAACAACCCTGCGTGTGTACTCAGTGTAGCAGGCCTGAACGATTGCAGCGAGCAACGTTGCAGCAAACTACTCTGGCACCAGGCTGGGTCAAAGGACGGCGAAGGTGATTCTGCGCTTCGCTTGCGTCGACTGCGCAAGAGCTTGTGAGTCGCTACGCCAGTTCCGGTCTTTCATGATGCAGACTGCGACAGATCCCGAGAAACTGCCACACGCCATGCAGATGCTGCATTCCGGGTGTCAACCGAGCAGCACTTTTTAGGCCAGCGAAGCTGCAGTAGGCTCAAAGCCTTGATGCGCAACGCCAAGGTGTGTAAGAGTTACTGTACATGAGCGCCACTCTTAAGAATAAATATGAATATATATATATATATATTATAATATCTTTATATGAGGATGTCCGTCTGCATGGGTCTGCTCAGAGTCACTTCTGTTTCATTCCCTTGACTGCTCTCTTCTGTCCCAAGCCTTCGTGGTTTTCCCGTCCTCTTCGCAATAAGCATTCAAACTCCAGATGATTCCTGCTGCGGTTTGCTCACTTAAAACCTGCGGAGGTTGAATCGTCTATGTTTGCGGCTTTTTCGAGTTCGGAAAAACAACAACATGTTACTTACTAAAGCCCTTGTGATCGGGGAGGTTCACTCACTTTATGTACAAACTAGGACACCACGCACTAGTCAGCGGAAACCATTTCCTTTGCAGCACTGGAGATGGGGTCGACCACTCTCTCTACAAACTTCGGCACCACTAGAAGCACTTCCTTTCCGCAAGCCCTGGCTTAATTTTCATGCGGGCTGTTCGCACTCTCGGCTTGCTGAGTGGCGCATGTCCTCGGGGTAGAGCCCGAAATCTTGATGCACCTCCGTGTTTCCCCTAAGAAGGCCGCTGAAAATGGTGGGTTTGCCTTTGTGTTCCCTTGTTTGGGGGTGTTGGTGGGTATCTAGGGTTTTGCCATTGGCCTGGCGAAAAGTAAGGCCCTGAATTGATCCACATGGTGTCCCCCAAAATGCCAAAACGGGTCCGTCACTTTGAGAAACTCCCGCCCCGGTGCCGAAGAAGTTGTTCGGCCCCCCGGGGCCACGTCGAAGCACATAGGAAGGGTAGTTGATCTCAGCAACGTCCACCAGCTCCCGAAGCAGAGGATCAATCTCTTTGGAATAGACCTGGGGTGTGTCTGTTAAGGGGATCCCTTTTGGCTTGGTTTCACGAACAATTGCAAGGAACCCACTAATTTTTTTGCACCGATTCCCCTTTTTCTGCGAGCTTGCCTCTAGAACTGGAGGGTTTGGACCACAGTAAAGCCAGTCTTCTGCTGTCATCTGGGTCTTGTGGGGCATAAGCACAAAGCCGTACTTCTCGAAGAACTCCCGCTTGGACAGCCCCTCTTCAAGCCTCAGGTGAAGGCAGCCGTGGACAGAAGAATCTGTGCGCCGCAGCTACCCCCGACAAAAGCAACCCTGGGTCCTAATTATCTGGACAAATCTGCAAAGGGGGAAGCCAGTTTGCCATGCCTTTTGGCTTTCTGGGAAAGCTTTTCACAGAGCACATGGGCTAATGTTTACTCCGGAGGAGTAAACCCCTCTTTATGAAAATGGCGGGTGTTTTTATCCGACAGTCACGAATCCCCACTAAAACCAGGGACACCCCCATGTTAATCAACAGGGGCTTCTTCATCCGGGGTCAACATAAAGCACATCACGGCTGGAAGCTCCTTCTTGCGGGCGTCCAGCACCTGCACGCTGGCTTTCAGCTTGAGTCTCGTGTTCAGAGCTGTGCGGCGGCACTTCTCGGAGCAGGGCGGGCAGAGGAAGTATTGCAGACATCCGAAGCAGGACTTCACAAAGCCCAAGTCGTCCACCACACGTTCCCCCGGCTTACTCAGATGCCAGTGGATTTCCATGGGGAAAAAACAAAATGGACACCCTTGTCTTGTTGGTTGCTTACCCCTTAAAACTCCAAGCCCTGGGGAAGTTAATCGTTTACAGACATATAGCCCATGTTACCCCCAAAAAGTTGAAAAGTTGTGTGTTTAAGAGGTAAGGTTGAGTTTCAAGGGAAACCGAAACCCTTCCCCAAAAAAAAGAAACAAGGGCGCCACTGCAGCTGGGCTTCAGAGCCAAGTCAGGCCGCCAAAAGCCGCCCAGCTTGATCTCACCCATCGCAACGTGCGCCGGAACAGAGGCAGCTGGACAGTAGAGATGAGAGAATCAGGGTACCCGATTTTTTTCTTGCAGTCTATTGCAGTAGGGGAACCCTCCGAAAAGGGTGAACGGGCACTACTGGGGGACCTAGTGAACCATCAGAAAGTCTAAACCGTTGCTTCGCATGAACCCCGAAGATCTACCGCTCGCGAGATTTTCAAACTGAGCGAGTGGCAAATGTGCCTTTGAGCCATTGCGGCAACCTGCTGGACACGCAAACGCACGTGTGCACAACACATGGGTGCACTTTTGAGGATGGTGAAAAAAAGGAAAACCAACCACCCTCTTGGGGGAGTCTCCTAAAAAGCGGCACGCCCAAACGTCTGCCCGTTCGCAACACTTTGACCCCCAAACACCTTCAGGACTTGAAACCTCGCGGCTCGCAGATCACCTGGCATCAAAAGAGCTTTAGCTTGACAGCCAGAAGTTCGATCCACGGAGCAAGCAGAACGTAGGTTGGCCTTCAAAAGGGACAGACTCGCACCAAGGAACCGGGCCTGCTGAAAGAAACGGAACTGTGGGAATGTATTCTCAGCTCGAAACTCAGCTCAACCGAGCTGCTGTTGCAATCCTTTTGGCTTCTGCAAAACAACGAAGCACCGTTCGCGACCTGACATCATCAACTTCATCAACTTGGCTGTTGATCAATCTTCCCTCGCCCCGCAGTTTTGACCATAGCTTTTTCCATGTGGCAAGGTATCCTCTTTGGGTCTTCCAAGCTATGGTCATCCGTACGGAGCTTTTGATCGACCCCTCGACTCGCCTCACCCCCCCGGGGTCCAGCGAAAGCCGATCAGCGGCGTACAGAAGCACCGGCTCCTCGCTCGGAGGCGAAGTTCGGAATGGGACCCCGGACAGGGATCCGGAGGCATTAGAAACACATCTGAGCATTGCCACTCGTCACTGGTGGTTTCCCGTTATTTGGTGGAAGAAGCCACAGGTAACTCAAGTGGTGGCAAAATGGAGATCTTTGGAGGAGCCCTGGAAGTGAGGTGTTTCCTCCCCAGACGGAATACGAAGCAAGAAACGAAGAGGAGGTACTTCATGCTGACCTAGCAAAGCCAGTTGGAAGTCATTCAGCATCTGCCGGCCGCGTAGCTTCAACGCAGATGCCGTGGGCGCGTTGTCTCTCTTGGCTCGTTTCGGGTCGCTCCAAGCCATGTGCCCGGAGTCATCCCCCGGATGACCAGCATTGTTTGCTTCGTATTGGTACTGTGGATGGACGAAATCCTGCACCGCTTTGAAACCCTGGGAGACCGTTGTTTGTTGGTATTTACAGGGGAATCATCCTTCCGGGGTTTCTTGGGTAGTGCAGGATTTTGTCCATTCACAGTATCACCCTTTGGTAAAGGAGGGAAACACGCAAACAGAATCGGTCCTGCACTTTTGACACTCCACCCCCCTATCTGGCCTTGACTCTATGAGTATGGTTTGGAGCCGGAAGGCCCGTCAACATATTACCCGTGGTGGTTCCTTTGCCAACAGCTTCAGTACACCTCTGCCACACTTCGCAACCAACACGGGTCTTCTGGAGACAAGCTCACTCCCTGAGTGGATTGGCCAAACAAGCCTGAACTGATTACTTGCCGCGAAAATGGTCTTCCCAATCAAATTATAGTGCAGGAACTCAGGAAGTGAGCAAGATTTATCATCCCAACTGCCATTTCGCACAGCTTGGCCGATGCAACTATCCGTCTTGCTCCCTGCCGCGTGAACATTGATTCATGAGCTCCCAGAAAGCAGCAACTCAAGAAACACCACATATCCAACGCCATGGATTTGCGCTTTTGCAAGAGTCCAACATACGGACTATACCCCGTGCTTGGCAAGACGATCTCACCCCACCGCACAACTACAACCGCATGCATTCCGCTTCTCTGCCCTATGGATGGACAAAACCAAGTTGGAATGAATTCCCGGTGAACACTGGCGCCAACTGGTGCCTGGCGTAGAGTTTGCCCAGTGCACTCGATTTGTGTGGATCAAGACAGGAAGGGGTTCATATGGCTTCACATGCCCGTAATACGCTGCGCTTTGTGGATTTGTCCATTAGCAGCGTGGCCCATAAGGATGTAGGGTGCTGTGAAATCAAGTCTAGCCAAGATCATGAGGGCATCATGTGTGGAATTAGCAGCCAAAAGACAATTCCGAATTAGATCCAGATTCTGGCCCATTTTGAGTTGTTGAGTGAACCTGAAAAGTCCCCAACCAACCAATTCCCGTCGAAGGAACCCAGATCCTCCCGCCTCCGCCTGCGCTTCGAAGAGGCCGAGCACCAGGCGCGCGGAGGTCTTCTGCTGCTCCAGGGTGGCCACCCCGGCCTTCAATCGACTCGAGGAGACAACCAGACTCCCAACTGAAAGGGGTGCAATGTGGATTTTCCCCGCACAAAACTTGGTCATTTGGTGATTCTTGTCATTTGATCGATTTTTCCAGCCCGTCCTCCGATTTGTTGTTTTCTCGAGCAGGTCACTGCAGACATGACCTACGGTGAATGACTGGACCAGACATGGCTGTGAGTCAAGAGGGAAACCCCAAAATGGCGCAAGCCCTGGTAAATGGAACCAAGGACTAAAATATGCAGTCCCCTGGTGACAAACGTGACCCGTGGATGGACGAAAATTCTGTTTGACACTTTGAAACCAGGGTTGATTCCAGAAGGTTTGTTGGTATAGGGGAATTGACCTACTGATGGACGAAAACTCCCTTCAACACTTTGAAACCGGGGTTGAAACCAGAGCGTCTGTGGGTATTGACAGGAGGAATCGCCATTCCAGGGTTGCTTAGGTGGTGCAGGATTTCGTCCATCCACAGTACGACCAGGGCGGGGGGGAGGGGGTTAGGGATTTTGGAGTTTAGAGATTTCAAGGAGAGACATTCATGGTCCAAGATGTCCTCAGAAGTCTTCCAGCAATCTTGTATCTTGGATTCAGAATTTTAATGCGGGCCTTTTTAGGGGATTCAGCCACCAAAAAGGGGGGGGGGGGGTCCTTTTGGTTTGCAGTTTGAGGCTGCATAGATATGATCCATAACCTTTTCCGTGATACCGAGCTTGTTGATTCCCATCCTCACGACTGCTTTCCCGCCGCATTTTTGGGATTGATATGGAGTTTCTTTCGCAGAATGGGCCCTAGATCCCATGACCATTTGCACAGCCATGGTGTCCCTTGACTCTAATTGTTTCAAGGGCAAAATGTGTACACAACCAACATCTACAAAAGCAGCTACCTCCAAAAGAGACATGCGGTACTCTTTCATGTAACGGTTCGGTGCAAACAAGATGCGTTTTGCCTAGTGGTGACTGGGGGTGGTATAGTAGGCATGCACCCAGGGAAACATGTTTTTTATCGAAATTACCATATCAGAAATTAGACCACGGTGTACCCTAGTTCCACGTCTCAACAACCCTCAAACTCGGCACAAGTCTTTCTCAAACGGCGTAAGTCATCTGGCTGTGAGTCAAAAAACGGGAAACTTTGAAATGGAACCCTGGTAAATGGAACCAAGCACTAAAACCTGCGGTCTGGTGGATTGATTTTGACCCATACCCATTTGAAGAAAAGAGGAGCGTCTCATTCAGTCTTGGCGCCCAAAAACACACAAAAAACATCCCAAAGGAACAAACACACACCCAAGAAACACCCAAGAAACACCCAAAAACACCCAAATTTGGAAATTTCCCCGACACCTTGAGCCGTCCGAGTGCCAGCTGGGCCGCCGGCTTCGAAGGCGCCTGCGAGCTCGAAGGGCATCGTTTCTTTCTTCGATTTCGTCTTGGGGGAACCGTCTCCCAACCAAAGGGGTGAGAAAGGCACCTAGCTGATTGATTTAGATAAGAGAACGGATAAAATCAAAGCATGTTTCACACTTGCTGCAGCGCCGAATGGCTGACCATCTTGGCAGCTCGCACCACAAGCTCGTGTCAAGAGGCTGTGTGTCTGAATCCTTCCGGCCTCCGAAAGGTCTGCCGCTCGCAGTTTCCTTGTGACACTCAGCAAAAGGGACATCTAACACATTTTGATATTCCGTTCGTAGGCGGCACGCCCATGGGAGAGATGCATGCTGACCCTGCCGCTTGCTGGGCGCGCCTGGCAACTCTGGGCGGCTGAACCAGTACACCCGCTCAGCCGCCTAAAGCGAAGTGACATGGAAAATACTCACAACAAAAGTAACCCATGGGTTGTAACAAATGGGTTCATTCGGATGCCACACACGTGATTGTCCGGCTGGAACCCGTTTAGGCCCCCCGCACACATCGATGGTCTTAGGCCAGTGCGTTGTCAAACCATCTACAACAGGGGCTCCGAGCTCTGGCAAGTGTTCTCCCCAGCAGCAAATGCCAAAAAAAAGGATGCAAGGGGTCCAAAGAGATCCAACCAACACGCACTGATATCAAACCATGGCACGGGAAGCCAAGGAAATGGGGTAGAGGGGGAGCCAAGGGATACGCGGAAGCGCACGAGGTTTCAGGTCATGGGGTGCTTTGACTCCTTGCTCGGTCGCGGGAGTCGGCTTGTCAAAATGAAAGGTGCTTTGAACCGCCGCATGTTGGACTTAAGGCAAAGCTCACACTTCATCGTTTAACCGCTCGGTCTCTGGCATTGGTTGCATGGGTGTGCCCTTCTTTGGCGGTCCGCCCAAAATGGTGGCTTTCCTTTGGTCTCCCGTTAAAACCACTCAAAAAGGGTATCCTCAGAAAAAGACACATGCTAGGTCCTCCAGTAGAAAGGTTGGAATAGGGGTACCATTCTTTTTCTGTAGTCTATTTTAGTAGCGGAATCCTCCCCCCCAAAAAATTGTATAAGCTGGCACCTAGCTTGGGGACCTAGCATGTAGGCACCCCAAACCGACGAGCTCAAATCGGCGCCCCAGCGAAGAGGAAGTCGCCACCCAGGCCGGCCTGATCATCGAAAGCGTTTCTGGGCTGTCCTCAGATCCCCCCCGCTAAAAGTGAATAACTTTTAGTGGGTTAAATGGAAATCCACACTAAAGACAAAAAGG